ATGATTCCCTAAAAAATAATCACTTTAAAACTATAATTGATAAAGCAAGGGATGTTGTAAAATATTTAAGAACTCCCACAATTGTAAGAATATTACAAATGAGAAGGCAAATAGCAATATTAGATTTCACAACATGTTGGGCCTCTATTTGTATGATGCTAGAGCTATTAATAAGTTTAAAGATTTCTGTAATTATTTTATTATAAGAGCATGTCATTTTGTCAGAAGATGATTGGAATTAAATAAATGACCTTACTAGTATGTTGGTTCTTTTAAAAATAACTACATTAAGATTGCAAGCAGAACCGTTATGTTTATCGGATTTTTATGGCATATGGATAAGATTTCGATTAAAGTTAAAAAGATTTACAAGTTCTTTTTCATGTGAAGTATTAGAGAATATGAAAATTAGATAGCAACAATATTTACAAAATAGTGTTGTATATGCTTCAATATATTTAGACCCTCGGTATCAAGTTTTATTAAGTATTGAGCAAAAACAAATGGCTATAGACCATCTTGAGGATTTATGGCATACCCTTAACTCTATTATTTACAATATATTGGAGGCTACGACAATATCTACTGGTTGTAGCGATAACAATGATAATGATAACAATATATATGATCTGGAAATTTTACTATTAGATAGAGAAAAAAATAATTAAATTATCATCAGATAGAAAGGAGCATAAAATATCTATTGTATCTTTAATAGAAAATTTCTCAGAAGTTAAGAGAATAAATAGAGATAAAAATATGTTAAAATTCTGAAGGAAAATTCTTCAATATATCCAGAATATACCTTGTCTAGAATCGTCATGGGTGTACCGGCGACACAAGTTCAATAATTTATGTATTATAAAAATGACAATCTATTCGGAGTAAGGGTAGAACGTGGATTTTCATCGTTGAAATATATATTGTAAAATTTAACGTGGAAAACTTAAGGATGATATTTTAAAAGATATCATGATTCTGCGATTGAATAAAATATTTAAAATATATATTATTTCATTTTGAATTATGAGTAATATTGTATTATAATAAAAATGAAGGAAAAAAGAGTCTTATTTTGATTTATTTATGTTCCCTGAACCCGAGCCCTGGACCCGGGTCCTTTTTAAATTTATTACTGGACCCGAACCCGCACCTGGACCCTTTTTTTTGTCGAAGGGTTCACCTTCACATCCCTGATTTTAATAATAAGAATTATGATATAAAATCCATGTATAAAAAATATGGGAAGATTATTTAAATCATTTATTTACTACTGACTTGTTGTCGGCTATTAAATGAATGAAATAATATATGTAATAATCACAAAAGTTGATAAATTAACGAAGAATAATGATTCAACTCAAAGGAGGAGTAATTCTTTTAAATGGATCATACATAAATATTAAAAATATAAAAATTATTTTAAATTTTAATTTAGTGTAATATATTTCAAATAAAATCTTATAATTCCCGGCCGCAGGCCGGATAAAAGCGGGCCATAGGCCAGCAAGAAGGCGAAGTCCCCAACTATGGGGCCTCTCTTCGAAATCACTCATGGGACCTTTAGCCTCCCAGTCCGCCCCTGGAAACGCTTATCAGAGTATATATTTTTCATGGTTTTTTTTTGTATAAAACAATTATAAATGTACAGGAATTTCTTAAACAAAATTATACGAATAAGCCTTTTAAAATAAATTATATTCAAAGCACGGATAGAATTCAATATAATATATATAATGGTTTACCTTATAAATGACTTTAATAAGTATATTCCATAAAGTTTAATTTACATATAAATACATGTATTATAATCCATATTTCATATGTCAAAATTCAATTAAATAGTACAATGAACTAGTAATCTGCATCGGACCTAATTTTTCAAACCCGGCCCGGCCCGAAATTTTTTTAAAAAAGTTTTGCCGGCTCGGCCCGAATTCGTAATTTCTTTTTTAAAAATTTACCGGCCCGGCGCGGCCCGAATTTATTTATAGAAATTAATTTTTTTATTTACTCAAAATTAAAGAGATATGTTATATGTCGTTTAGTTTCAAAAAATAAAATCAAATAATTTTATTTTACATAAAAATTCAATATAAAATTGATATTTTTAGATATATTTAAAAAAAATTCCAAGGTCCGACCTGACCCGGCCCGAATATTTTTAAAAAATATCAGACCCGGCCAGAACTTTTTTAAAAAAAATCAGGCCCGGCCCGAACTCGATTATTTTTAATAAAATTCCAGGGCCGGCCCGAACGACTTTGCAGGTCTCTAAAATGAACCATAAAACAGGTCAAAAGTCGATAAAATTCAAAGGTACGATTCGATAAATGACAAAAGAAATGATCAATGCCCTGACCAATGCCCCAAACTACAAAAATGGATAAATATGAAGTATATGCACTGGGATTATGAGGGGTGGGCGTATCGCAGTTGTTCAATTAAATACTGCCAGTGGCGTAGACAAGGGGGGGGGGTCGACCCCCCCCCCCCCACATAGAAAAGGAAATTTTTTTTTTAAATTTTTTTTTTTAATTTTTTTTTTTATAAAATAAAAACGGTTTCAATTTAGAGAAATAAGATAATATATTATATATAATACAATATGAATATGAATATGAATATCACAATGAAATATATTTATAAAAAAAGGAGTTTTAATTTTAAATGATCACATCGTTTAAAAATATATATAAATTATATGAACTAAAATATTAAATAACAATAAAAGAATAAAGATATGTTGTATGTAAATAATTTCTGGCATAGTTAAATTTATTAAATAACAATAAAGATATTTTGTAAATATTTTCTGGCTTGGCATAGTTAAATTAGATATTTATAAATTTAATTATTAAATATATATTTTTAAACTATATAGATAGTTTGTAAATTTTAATTTTTTATAATTTCTAAATATGGATATCCGTAAGTTTTTTCGTCAACAACAAAAAGAAAAAGGTATATAAAAATTTAAGTTGTGTAATTTGAATTAGAAATATATATAGATATAGATGTTGCTCTTGCTAGTAAAAATCAGCCATCAGTTGAGTTGGTTTTCGTTGTATCCTCAGATGACGAAGGTAATGGTATTATTTATAATATCTTTTATTTAAATCTTGCAATTAGAAAGACCAGACATACCATTACCACTCCATGGGAAAACCAATGATGAGTTAGCTACAAAATCATCAAATGATGGTATATATTCTAAATTATTTATAATTTCTAATATTTTTTAATTAAAAATAGAAACATTATGTGTTACAAAAGCATGTGAGCTATCAGTTGATTTAGCTGGAAAATCATCAAATGATGGTATAGTATTTATTTTAATTCCATTTTTTTTATTTGTAAATTATACTATTTTCATTTTGAGTTATTAAAATTTTGCAATGTACGATAGTTAAAAGTTAGTCATTTTTTTGTGTTATTCAAAAGGTAGTACATTATAAGCCAAGCAGAGTTGAGAAGTATTGAAAATAACAATAAGAATAAAGATATATTGTATTTGTAAATAATTTCTGGCATAGTTAAATTAGAATATTAAATAACAATAAAGATATTTTGTAAATATTTTCTGGCTTGGCATAGTTAAATTAGATATTTATAAATTTAATTATTAAATATATACTTTTAAATTTAAACTATTTAGATAGTTTGTTTTGTTTGTAAATTTTAAGTTTTTATAATATTTAAATATGGATATCCGTAAAATTTTTTGTCAACAACAAAAAGAAAAAGGTATATATTAATTTATTTATAAAATTTAAGTTATGTAATTTGAATTAGAAATATATATGGATGTTGCTAGTGAAAATCAGCCATCAGTTGAGTTCGAAGGTAATGGTATTATCAATATCTTTTATTTAAATCTTGCAATTAGAAATACCAGACATACCATTACCACTCCATCTCCATGGGAAAACCAATGATGAGTTAGCTACAAAATCATCAAATGATGGTATATATTCTAAATTATTTATAATTTCTAATATTTTTTAATTAAAAATAGAAACATTATGTGTTACAAAAGCATGTGAGCTATCAGTTGATTTGGCTGGAAAATCATCAAATGATGGTATAGTATTTATTTTAATTCCATTTTTTTTATTTGTAAATTATACTATTTTCATTTTGAGTTATTAAAATTTTGCAATGTACGATACTTAGTTATAATTTTAAAGTTAGTCATTTTTTTGTGTTATTTTGCAAAAGGTAGTACATTATAAGTCAAACAGAGTTGAGCAGTATTGAAAACTTGTATCTACAATACAAACAGAGTTGGGCAGGCCCTCCAGAAAAATAATCTAGATACAGATTTGTTGTGAAAAAATGAATCTTAGATACAGATGATTTATCATTACCAATTAAACTAGAAAAGTTTATAAAATACAGTTTTTATTATTTATTTGTGAAGAACATAATTATTTTCTTAAAATTTTTTGTATATACAATCTTGGGCAGCTTATAATATTTAGGAACTTATTTTCATAATTTAAATATTACTACCTTCTTCACTTCCATGAGTGTAAATCATCCTACAAATATAAAAATATTAATTAAAATTGGTAATGATATTTTATAGTAATTTCCTTCTACTTGTATCTGTCTTTAAATTTTTATTAAGAAACTTTGATATCTATCTGAGATACATTTTTTATAATCCAGATTTTTTTCTTGTGCTGCTCAGCTCTTAACATTGAAATTCATATTGAAATATATCATTTAAAATCTAAAAAAAAATATAGAAACACCACACCGTTCTCAAAAAGATGTTTCACTTTACTTAAATTTTCATTTTAAAAATGATAATGAAAAATTGTTAGCTGTTGAAAATATTTGGATACCTGACAAATGTTATAAATTTCCATTGCCCTTGGGCAAAAGAAATTTAACCTTTCAAGCATCCTGGCTTAACAAATATAAGTGGCTTGCTTACTCAGCCGATGAAAAGGACGCATTTTGTAAAGTTTGCGTCATATTTTCCCCAAGATATGCTGGAAATGGGTTACAAAAACTCAAAACATTGGTAAGTCAGGTGTACACAAGATGGAAAGATGCGCTCGAAAATTTTAATTATCATCAAAAAAATAAATATCATCTTAATTCCTGTGAGATAATGGATTCTTTAAAAGAAATCTCAATGAATCAAAAGATATAAATATCAAATGTATTGAATAAAAAAAATTTTGATATTGTTACAAAAAATCGATCAAGAATAATTATAATTATTGATGCTATCATTTGGTTAGGGAGGCAGGGCTTGGCGTTAAGAGCTCATAGGATATCTCCTGGCCCCCTAACACTTACATCCCCTTCTCACAATGAAGGAAATTTCAAGGAATTATTGAAATTTTTATGTAATAATAATGACAACTACCTAAAGCTTTTTGAAAGCTCCTCTAAAAATGCTACTTACCTAAGTCCCACTATTCAAAATGAAATAATATCAATATGCAATCAGTTTATATTAAAGGAAGTTTCTTCAAAAGTCAAAGCATCACCATTTTTTAGTGTTTTAGCGGATGAAACTTCCGATATTGGTAATATTGAAGAACTATCCATAGCAATAAGGTTTATTGATATGGAATCAGGTAATTATAAAATGAAGGAACTATTTGTTCAATTTATTGAATTACCTGACACTAAGTCAGAAATGACTGCTAATCAAATTATTAAATCACTTCAAAACCTGGATTTAAATTTAAATCTACTGAGAGGCCAAAGGTACGATGGAGCTCCCTCGATGAGTGGCCATGTTAAAGGGGTCCAGTAGAGAGCTTTATAGCACAGCTCTTTATGTTCACTGCAGTTCACATTGCCTGAATTTGATGATAACTGAGGCAAGTGAAATTAGAGACATCCGGAACAGTTTACGTAAAAAGATTTTGATTTAATTGAAATTTATTAGATTTTATTATGTATTATAGATATCTTTATATAATTTTTATATATTTTTCAAAATTTAGAAACAATATCGTCGGTTTGTGACTTCTTTACCCCACCCAAGAAGAGGGAGATTTTTACCCAAACGTTCGATGAAATTGATTCAAAAAATTCAAAAAAAAAATTAAAAAGATTTTGTCCCACAAGATTCATTGAAAGACAACAATCGGTGAAGGTTTTCATCGAGTTATATGAGGTTATTTTTGCGGCACTGGAATCATACATATTACGCAAAGAAAAAGATTCCGCAGATGCGGAAAATCTTTTACAGGCTATTACGAAGCCTCAATTTTTAATTTCAATTCAATGTGTTTATTTTTTATTTAATTATACATATGATTTTAGCAAAATGTTACAAAAAATTGATTTGGATTTAAGGGAGGTTATGAATAGGACAAAGGATATTGTTGAAATATTAACAAATATCAGAGATAATGTGGATGAAAAATTTCACGAAATATATGAGAAAGTAAAGGAGATCGCTAATATGTTTGGGATTAAAATTTTTAAACCTAGAGTAGTTTCTAGACAATCCAATCGCTCAAATATTGATGCATCTACGATTGAGGATTTTTATAAAATATAACATTTTTATTCCACTTTATGATACATTTTTATTTCAATTAAAGGAAAGATTTATAAGTCACAATTTTATTTTAAAAAGCTTTTATTTTCTTTTGCCGGTTGAGTCTGAATTGTTGATTACACTTGAAACGCGAGAGGATATTAAGAACATCTCAGAGTTTTATTCTGATGATTTATTAGGGTCGTATGATAAGTTACTTTGTGATGTCGAATTTTGGTATAAAAATCTTGGCAGAATAGAGTACTCTTTGAGACCTATAAATGCTTTGCAGGCCCTTTCCATGTGTAATTGCACTTTAGATTCCCTGCCCAATATCAAAACATTGTTTTTTATTTTAGCTACTTTACCGATTAGTACCTGCACTAATGAAAGGTCTTTTTCAACTTTGAAAAGGTTAAAAACCTATTTAAGAAATAGCACCGGTGAAAACCGTTTAAATGGATTAGCCCTATTAAATATTTATAAGGAGATTATTCTAGATAAAAATTTGATTCTAGATGAATTAGCCAAATCTCAGAGAAAAGTAGACCTCTCTTTATAAATTCAAATCATATAATTGTAATATTTTCTTAGTCATAAAATTTTTATATGTAAAACTTAATTATAATGAATTTTTAGTCATGATATTTTTATACTATATTTAATAATAGTATTGCACCTACAATAAGAATTATTTATATAATATTATCATTTGTATTAAATATAACTGTTAAATTATATTTTTTTAAATTGCATACAAGAATTACTTATATTTTAATGTAATTTTATTTTTTTAAAATATAGATATTTACAATCAATTTTTAAAATAGTAATCTGTATAAAATTTCTAATTTTGAAATTTATTTTTTGTATATAAAATAAACACATAGTTAAATAAAGGGTTTATACTAAATAAAATTGTTAAATTGTATTTTTTTAGCAAGAATTACATATTTTATTGCAATTTTATTTTTTTAAAATATAGTTATTTACATTCAATTTTTAATATAATAATCTGTTTAAAATTTATATATTTTGAAATTTATTTTTTTATATATTATTAAAATAAATACATAGTTAAATAAATAAAGTTAATAATAAATAAAATCTCTGCAAAATATTGTTATATGCAAAAATTTAATTAAAATAATTATTTTTAACATAGAATAAGATATATTGAGTTGATCATAAAATTGGAAGGTTTGGGGGGAGGCAAATTTTTTTTACATCGAATAGATTGAATTAATATACAATTTACTAAACATTGATAACATTTTCAAAATAATGTTTTCAGTCGCTTATTAATTATAAATTTGGCAAAAATTTTAATTCTAATATTTTTTAATATTTATGCTGGCCTGGGTATAATACACAAAATATTGGCAAATTTTGATAAGGGGTTTGGGGGCGAAGCCCCCAAAAATTTTTCAAATCCCCCCCCCCACCATGGATCAATCCTGGCTACGCCACTGAATACTTCGAATACTAATATATTTTTTAATGAATGTCAATCAAAATATAGTTTTTTTAAATTTATTTTTTTATATAAAAAGAATTATTTAAATTCTGATATTGGAATCAAGATATTAATTTTCAAGAGATAATTTTTAGATAGAAATTTATTTAAATCGAATCGAATAAAAAGGCTTTTAAGTTTTGAAAATTATCATGTTGTTTTATTTTTATATAATTATTTTAAATTATATGTCATTAAAGTTTCAATAAACACTATTTTATCGCTGTTTATTGTGTACTCCGAAAAAAGGCAAAATACTTAGGAAAAAATATTCGAAATAACATCTAAATGTCAGGAAAGGGATTTATTTCCTGATCCATTATATATAAACATAGATTTCGAAAAGTCTGCTATAAGCGCGGTTAAAACTATTATTGGTATGATTTATATATTTAATTATTTATATTTATTTTTTCAATTAGGGGATCACATCGTAATCAGATGATACTTTTACCATTTGTATCAAAGTACCCATAGAAAAATTCAGAAGCTAGAGCCAATACAGGACCGATAAATCTCTTAGCTTCTTTGTGGCATAATGGACCGTTTAGCATTTGTTCCTTTATGTGATATGGGCAATGAAATGATGGCATTCCTGAGATCAGTTATTCCGAGCAATGGTAAGGATATTCTTGATTATTTTGTTAAAAATTATATTAATGGAGTATCAAGAGGGGGGGGGGGTCACAAGAAGCAATTCTCAATCCCAGACAAGTCGAATTGATCGATTTCCTCCAGAAACTTGGAACATGAATCAGAGCACTCTATCCGACGAAGAACGCACAAATAATCAATACGATGGTTGAATCATCGTTTTTCTAATCTGGTTGGAAATTAACACCCATCAATCTGGGTATTGATTAAAAAATGGAATGCGAGCTGGCTACCGATGAAACCAAACTTGAATTATGGCATGTAGTAGTTGGACACCGAAAACAAAATCGCAGTTTCTAAAATATTAATTTGTCTATACCTTATAAATATTAGTATATCCATTATAATCCAGATATAAATATACCTATATTATTAAGTCGTAAGTATATTCTATAAATAGGTAAGAAAAAAAATCCACGAGTTAATTGATTTAATTAAAAATTTGTAAAATAGGTGAATTTTTTTTCATTAAAAAGGAAATACCATAAAAAATTGTATACTTAATATCAATGGGCGCATTATTATAATTTATAAAAGATTAGAGTTGAAGACTTTATGTAATTTTAATTCTTGAGAAGGTTAAAATTGTTTCTTCTAAATATTAAATGTATGTTTTAGCCGTTGGAAAGCTAAACATGTCGATATTCTTTCTAAAGTGACTGAATCCTACCAGTGGAGAGTCATGCCTAAAAATGAACTAATAATATATTTTAACAAATTGATAGATTCAATAATTATGTAAAAAATAGACCATGAATCTGCTTTTATACAAAGAATTGTTTGTTTGGCTAAACCAATGACATATAATATACCTAGACTGACGATTTATTTATTAAAAGTGTACATCAATGCAAATCATCTGGAGACGACATCTTGGTTACAGTAATTATTATTAAAATTTTAAACGAGAGCCTAATTTATTCGTATATCTGATGCAAGCTTTATTAAAGAATTAAATGTTTTAATTTCAAAAAATTAGAAAATATACAGTAGTTTTTAACATGAAAATAATTATTATAGGTTACCAAAATGGTGGGTACAGCTGATTTGCTTTTAACGACTCTTTATTATTCATTTTAATGAATGAATCGTCAGTCTAGGTATATTATATGTCATTGGGCTAAACAGGTTATTATTTTAGCTAGCATGATATTTTGTTCTTTAGATATTATTGATACAAGGGTTGGGCGGGTAACGCTGTTATCATATTTAAAAATGCAGGGTGTTCCACTATATTAAGGTTATAGTTCTTTTATTACAAATATTGATAATCATCGACCAAATCTATATATTGAATAATCAACAAAATCTATATATTGCATACATTCATGGACATTATTTTCTAAAGAAAACTGAAGTAATTTAAAAGGGTTTAACATTCTCATCAAACTCATATTCATGCCAAACATATATATATATATACTATAATAAGGCATTCATTGTAAATGAGGTGGTTTTTAGTTGTATTCATGATTTAAATAAGAACTCTTTTATATTCAGAATATTTTGAAGTTGGTTAGTAAAGCTAAAAAAATTTAAGTTATTCTTTTTAAATTTATGAAGGGAGTACCATTATAATTATAAAGGTGAAGTAAGTTAATAATGTGGAAATATCGCCGCAGAAGGCGATGGGAATTTTCTAGCATATGTTTTTGAGGGAGATTTTCATCCAGTGAAAATCTTGCCATGTAGATGCTGTGCCTCCTTAGCATAATTTAAAATAACTTTACAACATCCGCCATAATGGCCTATCTTGTTGCACTTAAAACATATCTCTTAAAAGCATGACACTATCATTTCCCTCATGTATTCTGTTACAACGTAGAAACCTATTTTTAACTCTTTTAATTATATATAATTTTCTTTTCTCAAATCTATTATTGTAATATCTTGGTATATAATTATCTTAATTATTACTGCTTTTATTATACCCGTTATCGCAACTAGAATATTGTTCTGATACTATAGCGACTTTTGAGTCCAACTTCCTTATCATTTTATTATCTGCTTCCTGACGCAAGGGCAAGTTTGAGTATAATATGGAAAGAAATATATTTTTCTTCTATACCCATCTGACATTGAGCCCAAACATCTCTTTCAAGATTAGGTAAATCTATGGCACATAGATTAATCTCTCAATACTTTATCAACATCCTTACTATAGTTACAATTGGCCCCCCAGTAAAGTCTGTTTATTAACGAATTGTCAGTTATAGGTTTTCTCGCATATTGTTTTATTTCCACAAATGTAAAATCAACAAATTTCCGTTGAAAAGCTTGTTTTTTAATATTTTCTATAATATGATTATCAAAATAGGATAAAAACAAACCTTAATTCTGGATCTAACGGGATAATTTTTTTTAATCTATCAAACTTTCCTAACATTTATAATAACAAATGAAATCAGAATTTATTTTATATTTTTCAAATTTGATATGTATGACTTAAATCATTCTAATTCCACTATGATCTCACCAAGAATATTGTTCATAACGTTAACGTTGCCAAAATTATCTATTCAAATTCTTTTATTTGACATATAATATAACCTTATTAAAAATTAACAATTTTTACATAATAATAAAATGGAATGTATAATTCTAAAATAAAAATATGCATATAAATAATATATTTATTATATTTATGAAATAATATATTTTATTATATATGTATTTTTTTAGATGCATCTAAAAATCTTATTGCGATGTTATTAATTAAATTTTAATTAACTTTTAAGTTTAAAATTAGAATATTACAAACCATTTAATTATAACATTCGAATCCTTATTTTGCAATATAGCACAGCTGTTAAGTTAGAGTTATACAATTATAAAATGTAAAATAATAAAAACGTATGATTTGTTGAATTCGATATTTCTAAATTGAACTGGAATCGAAAATATTTGCAGCACCTTTTCATGTAATTAATAATTTATTTTTATTTGAATAATTTTTAAACATGAGTTAGAATGTTTATTATGTTTTTAATAAGATATGTTTAGACAATTTAGCAAACAATGTTATAAAAAAAACAATAATTATGAAATTAATTTTATAAAAGTTTATGGGCAACAGTTAAAAGGCAACTTTTTCTTATAAAATTAAGTAAACTAATTTTGAAATTATTATTTTTAAATGTAAATTATTCATAAAAATATAATAAATTATTTAAAATTTTGTTGAGCAGTACTCAATATATATATCTAATTTTAAATAAGATACTTATTTCTAAGATACTCTAGTTTTCAAAGATTCTTTATTATTTGGCACAAAAGTTTTAAATACATTTTGTTAAAATTTACTTTTTATATTTAACCCTCATAGATTCTCATTGTGCAGTAATTTGTTTTTATTTCTTATATTTTGAATTAATATTATTATTATTTTATAATTTGGCATATAAACTTTACCATTATATACAAATTAAATAATTTAATTATATGATTTTTTGTCTATATATATATATTCATCGTTGTTATCAAGTAATCATATGAATTATATAGAGTGGAATTGAATATATTATTTATATTTTACTATCTGATTACCCCTTGGGCATAGTAAATGGTATAAAAATAGTAATATTTAAGTTATATTAATTGTTTTTTTTTAAATATAATGATATCTTTTTAGGTTTTTATTTTAAAAATATTTTATAGCCTTCAAAATTATAACAATTTGAATAATTTCAGAATACTCTCTTATCATTCAATTTATTAAGGTATTTTGTAGCTCTTTTTAGGCTACATTTTATAAAAAAAATTAGAAATAAATTTGTTTTATCTTTTGCTTATAATGTAATTGCATAGTATATAATACATAAAAATAATCATATTTATATATAGTTAGCTTTGATTATAAAAAATTTATGTAAAAAGACTATAATTTATGTAATAAAAATAACTATTATGGTAATATTCATTTTTTATTTATTTTGTTGCATTTTAATAATAAAATCATTTCTATAATATAATCCCCAAGTCTAGAGTGACTATAAATTTTACACTAAATAATCTCTAGCACTTGAGCGTAAGGCAATATTTAATTTTATATTATTTTTGATTTTAGAAATTATCAAAAATACTCATATGTATTTTTAGATTTAAAAAAGATGTCTAGGAGATATCCTATTATATTAGTATCCCTTATTTCAAAAAAATTATTAGTGGAAGTTGTTTTTATGGTTCTAACTAAAGTATGTGCTATCTCAATCACTATGCGGAAAAAAATTGTTGTACCAGAGGATAGAGTTTTAATCATCATGGTAAATTTTGGATTATTAACCAATGACATTGGCTGTATCAATTACAAATTGACAATAACTTTATCAGCCTGGGAAATATTAGCATGTGTAATATTATTAATCAATTTAACTTTAAATTAATTGGCCTTTTGGATGTAGTCTCCCCTATACCAAAATTATTATGATCCATCTCTTTAAAACTGTTGGCATTCTTATAAAATAAAAATACTATTAGAAAAGGTGTTTTTTGAGGTTATAGCTACTATTTGAGGATATATTTTTTTTAGTTTGAACAAATAAATTTGTAGTCATCTTTTGTTTTTATTTTCAAATTTTGGAAAATCCAACCCACTCCCCTACATATAGAAAGCCTTAAAGCACTAGGAGATGGCAATACATTTCCCACAAATCTGTACAATAAAATATTAGGAAACGAAGAGATTCCTCAAAAATGGAGGCAGAGCTATTTAGTTCCTATCTTCAAAAATAAAGGGGATCCACACAATTGTCAAAATTACAGGGGCATAAAACTAATGTCACACTGTCTTAAACTTTACGAAAAAATCATAGAAAAAAGGTTAAAAGACATAATCGAAATAGGAGAGACTCAGTTTGGCTTTATGCCTGGAAGATTAACAACTGATGCAATCCACACAATTAGGCAAATGTGAAAAATACAGGGAAAAGAACAAAAAGTTACACATGGTCTTTTTCGATCTAGAAAAGGCCTTTGACAGAATCCCAAGAAAACTTATATGGTGGGTGCTACCCTACAAAAAGATTCCCGAAAAATATATAAGAATAATACAGGATATGTATATGGGTCATACAACAATGGTCCGTAGCACAACTGGTGCTTCAGCAGGCATCACAATAGCCGAGGGAGTTCATCAAGGGTAGGCTCTCAGCCCACTTCTCTTCATAACAGTAATAGATGTATTATCACAGTCTATACTGCAAACAGTCCCGTGGAATATGGAATTGTGATACTTGCCTAATCCAAGGATGAAATGGAAGAAAGGTTGGTAAATTGGATAAATATCCTAGAAAAGCACGGACTAAAAGTAAACAGAGAAAAAATGGAGTATATGGTGATAGGAGGTGATGAAACAGAGAGCATTGATATAAATGAATGGCAGATATCGGCATTTGAAAGCTGCAAATATTTGGGCCCACTATACAAACAAACGACACAGTAGAGAAAGAAATAAAGAGTAAAATTAATCAATGTGGTTAAAGTGGAGATCTTTATCTGGAGTGCTCTTTGTCAAAAGAATCCTGCACAAATTGAATGGAAAATTTACAGTTCCATAGTGCAATCAACTATTCTATATAGTTCGGAAACATGGCCAACCAAAGAATTAGATGAGAGAAGTTTACAAACTATGGAGATGAGAATGCTGGGGTATCAAAGATAAGGTGCGAAGTACAAGAATACTAGGAAGTTTAAAGGTAGTGCCTATTAAGACTAAGATAATGCTGAACAGACTTAGGTGGTATGGGCACACAATGAGAAGGCCTATGAACTATATAGGAAATAAGGTAGAGATTTGGAAGTGATGGGCAAACATAAAAGAGGAAGGCCATAACTACAATGGGCCCATAAAGTTAGAGCCAATATGAAGAAGTATTAATTAGATAAAAGATATAGCATGAATAACATAAAGTGGAGAGATATTCTACCACCAGAAAAGGTGAAATCTAAAAAGAAAAAAAAAGAAAATAAATTTTGCATTCAAGTATTTTTATTTCTAATATAAAAAAGCGTTAAATAAAAGTATATCAAAATATATCTTAAAAGTGATACAGAGACTTTAATAAAAAAATCTTTCTAGATACAGATACCACATTTTTATATCTAGATACTTTAACAACTCTTATTAAATAATTATGCTTATAAATTTAAATATCCATGTTCATGTGTCAAATATTATTATCTACTACCTCCATATGAATAAGTTGTTTAATCTTACATAAATAAACAGAACTATGTTTGGTTCTGAAAAATCTTTAACCAGAAAATTATAAGGAAAATAGTCTCCACAGAGTTATAATAATGTGTAAAATGATATATAACAATATTAAGTAGTTTATCTATCCTTCAATAATATAAAAAATTATAATTTATATTAAATAAAATATTCATTCATATGTATTTATTATGCCAGTCTTCCTTATATCATAACTTTAACTTGATGAATAAAATAAATGGGCAAGTAATTGGAAGGAAATATAGATAAATTTAGGATATATATATAATTATTTTAATACTTTTAAATGGAGGATGAAATCGCTCCATTTATTTATTATTGTGTTATTTTTAGTTGAGCATAAATTACATTTAGCTTTAAATTATTTATTATACTGGTGATTCTAAAAAAATTGCCTTTTAAGATGGTTAAATTACATATAGAAAAAGGATGTTGATGTTGTAACAGGTTCCCTGTAAAAAATATATATATTATAAAATAATAGTTTAATAAAAAAACGCCGAACTGGTTGAATATATATTTTCCTTCATTTTCAATCGGATGAGAGTGTTATTAATTTTTTCGCTGACTCGGGTCAAGAATTTAACATTTTAATTAGTAAATCGTTGATTTACAATTAAAATTCAACTTATAAATAGTGAAAAAATATTTTTATTCGTATTAAAATAAAGGAGTCGTAATAAATACTGTACGCTTCTTATTTTTTAGTATTTAAAATATAAATATTTTTTAAATATTCAGATATAAAAAAGTATTTTTACGTAGTATTTTAAATACAAATATTCGCGTTACTGCCCAACTCTCATGCGCATATGATGACCCAAGTTTTATGAAAGAACATCTTTCAAGAGTGAGTCGATGAAATATACTCCAATATTCATAAAATGGTTATGTGCATTGCTATGCGATAATCTCATTATCTTGAACTCTGCCTGCATACCTCAATCAACCAAATTTTTTAAAATGTTTTAGAAGGCATCATGCTTTCTAATTCTGAATAGCATAACAAGTTGATTACTCGGTTATTAAAATTAGTAAAAATATTGATTGATGCCCTGAGTTCTACACGGTGGGAACCCTATATTGGAACAGTAGAGGCGAGGACCTTCCTACATTTATACCTAAAAATATAGACTTTAGTAGGGTTAAAGCTAGGGAAATTTTATACATTATTTTACAATTCCATATTTCAAAAATTATTAACAATGTAAATATTTATTATTTTTTGCAAAAATCGGATTCGAACATATCAATTAGTGATCTGAATCAGGCCTAATTTCCGGCCCGAAATTTATTTAAAAAAATTTGTTCGCTCGAATTTATTTAAAAGAAATATTAGCGCCTCGTTTCTTGCAAGAATTTTAAAATATATCAAATTATTTCATGTAAAATTAAAGCCCAACACGGCCCAAATTTTTTTAAAAAATATTAGGCCCGAACCGAAATTATTTTTAAAAAATAGACCCTGGTGATGTGCACCTCTAAATCAATAGCATTGGCTGTTATTAAATCTCTTATTATTTCTCTATCAGAATTAAAAATGATTATTATTTTTATTATTTACTTGAAACGAATAAATAATATTTATATAATATACAAATCATTAACTTATATATATTTATATTTATTTTTTAATAAAATTATTGTATAAAATTACATGATTTTTTCTTCATTTATGGAGTAAAGAAAATGGGCAGAAGGGGAGGGGGTGACTAGCTAGATAATTTTATTAGCTTTTAAAAACAATGTTTAAGAAAACTTTCAAAATGTATTAAGGGAGTGGGAGGGGAGGGGTAAATTCCATCTCTTTTGGTTTAGCCTATAATAATATAAGTCATAGACCAGCAGAAGTACCAATTGCGTGGCACGGCCCGGATATATTTTTAAGCCAGGTTTATGGCTGGGCCCTGATATAAGTATAAATTTCGGTGGCAATTTACTCGCAATATTCGAGACCCATGATGGATTTGAAGCACGTTCACCTTTTTTCGCACATCTTAATAACGCATTTGTAATTTTTTTTAAGAGTTTTATATAAAGTTGAAACTAGGTATTATGTTATTGAACAGGAAGCGTTAACGGTTATTTTTGGTTTAATCAAATGTCGTAAATACTTATAAAAAAATTGTAATGATTATAAACCATTAATTCATTATTCAAAAAGGATAATCGAAATGTTATCTTCACGATTACAACCTTGGTTGTTATTAGTAGAAAATTTTAATGTGGAAATTAGATATCGTCGAGGCAAAGAAAATTGTTTGCCTGATATTTTATCCAGGTTGGGAAGGAGTGAAGAAGATCTAGATTTAAATAAGAATAAAGTAATGAATAAGGAGAAATCATTGGTTTGTTCTCTTTTCCATATGTTAAGAAGCGGTTCTACTAATTGGGAAAATCTTAAACTCAATACTTTAAAAGATAAGGAATTGAGCCAGATCAAATTATTCTAAACGGGGAGAAACCGTGGAAAAATAACTGTAAATTTTTTATAAAAAAAATTGAAAAAGAATTGTCCGTGGTGGATGATTGTATTATGCGAGGAAATAGGGCAGGAGGTTCTTTTAAATTACTTAGTAAAACTATAGATTTATTACATGCCGAACATCAGGGTCGGTATAAAATGAAATCTTGGGCTCGATGGTTGCCTGGTATCAGTAATAATATTGAAAAAACAAAGAAATGTATTCCCTGTAATTCGTCTGCCGCTATGACCCTTAATAGGCAGTAGTTGGATCAAATCAATTAGATTTTGGAAAAGGGACCACGTTGATTTTTTCGATTTCGATAAAAAATAATACTTTTTCGTGTTTGAATCATATTTAAAGTGGATAGAATATGCAGAGGTACATGGATATACCACAAAAATTGTTATTAGTAAATTACAGGAATTATGGGCCCGATTCGGTTTACCGGATATAATCGTGTCTGATGGAGGTCCAGCCTTCATAAGTGATGATTTCAAACAGTTTTGTGCTGAGTTACTGACACAACACATTCTTGCTCCACCGTATCATCCCAGCTCGAATGGACAAGCTGCGAGGATGGTAGAAATTGTTAAAAATTGGCTCAAAAAGGCTGGAAAACATATTTATATGTCTCAGTTGTATTATCTTAACTCTCGCAACCGAGAGGTATCACTCCTTCGGAATTGTTTCTAGGCCGAAGAACAAAGGTTCCGTTAGATTTGTTAAAATTAAGAAAAATAATCAATTTTATACCATTTTCAATGAATAGATGACGTCGTTTCTGCTAATATTGGATCAAGCAGGAAATTTTTAAGTGTCATGTCTTTTCTAATTTTCGATATTATGATAAATGAATTTAAAAAAGATTTTGCCAAGAAAACGCAAATATATTAAAATCTATAAGCGCTTTACCTCTTTCTACCTTTTTAAAAGATTCTGATGTCATTAAACCATTTATTTTATATTATAATTCCCCGATGGAAGAATATGTAATTTTAAACTTTCAACTTGCAGTCAAACACACAAACCGAATCATAAATCATTAAGAAATTTGCTAAAATTATTATTGATTTAACGATAATTCCTTCGCATATATAAATGCCAGAGACCTTTAGGCCCGGCCCTAAGCCCCCGGGTAGCCTAAGATTATTTTTTAAAATACCAGGGCCGCGCCGTATATTTTAAATCGCCATTATTAGCTATTGCAAATGTACCATTTGCCGCTAAAAAAAATTTCGGCCTGGCCGGGTTTTTTAAAAATATATTACATTTACAGATCTCTGGTAAATGCCTTTATTATGTATACTACCCTATATTTCGTGTTTAAGGAAGATTGTTTTCGGCATTGATAAAATCTTGGATATGTTTTTTTCATAAGATTTACGGGATTCTTTTAGGTCCCTTCTTTGAACTTTGGTCGGTTTACATTTTTAAAAATATAATATTTTTTCTCAATAATTGTTATTATAGTTATTATTTAAAAGAAATGTTTGTACTTATTTTATAAAAAAAAAATATGGTTTATAATGACATATATTCATTTTTTGTGCTGCGAGGAGAATGTTGGGGGGAATTTTTTTATTAGCTTAAAATTATATTTACGAAAATTCTGCGAAGGTGAGGTAAATTTTTCGCCCCTCCCCCCCTGGTTATGACATAAGAGTATCCGAATGATATGATAAGATTATTTGCCTTAGTCAAAATTTAAAAAATTTCTAGCAAAAATGCAGAATTATTATTTCACATAAAATAGGAGGCTACAAAGATACCCGAAGTAAAATAGGTTTTTTTGTAATCTCAATTTAAAATCTCTGTGTTGCAGCTATACATACTTAACTCTTTAGGTTTTAAACCATATCATAATGTTAATAATTGTTATTCAATTTGTAATATCTTTAATCATATTGATAAATTTTAAAATATTTATTTTTTTCGCACATAAAATTGTAATTAAACGGATTTATAATGTTATTTAATTCTCGTAAAGGAATTGCATGTTAAAGCTGACAAAGAACTACAAAAAATGGATGTAATTGAGAAATTACGAGGCAAAACATTCGTAAAATATTTCATTGAAAAAATTATTTTTATATTTTATTTGAAAAAAAAGTTTTAAATGTATTATTTATTTATTAAAGGAGTTTTTTTTCTCTCTTTTTAGGATCTGGAAGAGGAGAAAGAGAAAAAACATACAATTTTAACCCAACTAGTCAAGGAAAGTTATGACAGTATGTAATTTTTATACTTTTACTTTAAACAAATACATACTACTAAATTTCTATTAACCCTCTATTGCGCGACATATTAATAAATGATATAATTTTTAAAAAAACTTATTTTTGTCTTTAAAGGGCCCTTAATAAACTAAAAAAAAAATTTAAACCGTAAAAAAAATTTCAGTGTGTGTATTTAATTACACAATGCGTGTAAAAAGTATATTTTTTCAATTTCAAACTTATTACAAAATAAAGAAATATAATTTTATTATTTGATAAATAATGTAATAAAACAAATTTATATTAATTTTCATGAAATAATTTAAAACAATCGTTTTTTATAGTAAAACATAATGATACACTATATTTGGTACAAATCACTTTCGTAACCAATTTACACAGCCTTTTTACTATATCTTAGCCAGTGTGATATTAAATCCTGTCATATTTCTTTCTGCATAATAAGACTTGTCGGCAATTTGCTAGATTTTTCCTTACATTTGGTGTCAATTGATATTCGTTTTTTTACGCTATAGCGTTCATATTTTTGTTACATTTACAGAGTATCTGCTATTGAAATTTTAAATATTAATAATGGCATCTGTTAGTACCTTAAAGCTATAAAATCTCGCCTATACATTAACCAAGATTTATGAACAACATATCAAGTATATGGAATACAATACGATGATGCCATTTACGTGATCTTATGTGAATCCACTTTCCATCTTTTAGAATTCTTTTTCAGTTGGAAACTGGCAAGTATAAATTCTATTAACTCTCGCTGTAACACCCTTTTGGGTGAGTAATACTTGTAGTTCTATACCACAGAATCAATTATCAAAACACAATTTAAAATTGAAAGTAGTGGTACCAATAGTTGAAATACCGCATTTCCGCTAGAATCAACATCTGCTGATCTTGAATCAAGAATTTCCTCATCTGATGAAATGCTAGCTAAAATCAGAACTATCTTCTGGAATACAATACATTTTGACTTAGATAGCAAATAAAGAACATTAGATGATATAAAAAAAATAATTAAAAAAGCCCAAATTCATATTGCATTTGTGCGCATTATGAATCTGGGTACACTTACCTTAAAATTTTTTATACTCTTAATGAATATAACAATATATCTATATATAAATCATTTCTTTTTATTTAATTTTTAACTTTATGTTCCTTAAAAATTTGTTCAAGAGAAATAACATAATTTATAAAATGGAAAAAATGCAACTATTTATGTATTTTAGAATATTTATATTGATAGCTCTCTTTCAATTTTGACAAAATTAAGAAATAAGTAAAATATATGTGTATTAAACTGTAAAAAAGTTTATATTAAAATTTATACCTTTTTTATGGTATGTGTATTCAAATATGATATACGCAATAGAGGGTTAATTATAAAATAAAAGGTGTGAATTACGTTACATATTTCTGAGCGCCTCATCTACATATTTAAGCTTTCATGTTAAACTATCTTTGTTCACCCCTAAATCATCTATCTAAACTCGTTCGTTATACTTATGATTTTTGGCCGACCTTGGGTTTATCAATTATTATTAATTCAGTGTATTCGATTTAATATTTTTAAAATTAATAACATCATCTAATTTTTATATAACATAGATATGGGTTTAGGACTGCCCTCAGATTTTATATCTAAAAGACAGCAAAAACAAAGGGTAAATGAACAGAGGCAGAAACCAAAAAATGTTGTAAGAATTCAAAAATATTATGGTGACTCATACGATGGACGTCGTTATGGAGAAGACGAGGAAAGGGAGTTCGTGAGCGTCGATAATAGGAGGAAAGTTTCTTCGAATATTATTCCGGAATTGGTGAAAGACCTAGGCAAGAATGAATTTTATTGCCAAGTAACGAATTAATGGTATAATATTGGGTGTATTTTAATTATGGGTACTTTAAAGATGAATAATTAATAGTAATGAAATAATAAAAGGAACCAAAATGAATCATTTTAAAAGATAGAATATCTAAAAAAATTTATTATATTATTAGCAACAAGAAAAGGGTTTTAAAATATCTAACGATTCAGCTTTAGCTAGTATTATTAAACCGCTCCATTTAGCCGATTTTTAAAAACAGCCAATTCAATATTTTAGCTAATATTTATTCCCAAGCATGGAGATTATTTCCGCAGATGTCAGAAAGTTTGGACATCTATTGACGAAATTTCGAGGCTTGGGTAATAAAATTTCACTTAAATTCGATTTCTCCGTTTTTAAAAATTGACTCAATCAAACCATTTAACAACATTATATTTTCCCATCACCACACATATCTTAGAAAAAAAAAAATAATACACTTAATCATACGTGAAAATTAGTATGTTTTTTTAAAATAAAAAATATCATTTTTTATGGCATTGGTTCAAGATGGTAAATGTTCTAGTCTTCAACATTCATATGAGAATTTAATATTAAAGACCTTATATTTATTTAATTTTTGCAAAGCAAATATCACTGGAATGCATGTATAAATGATGATGAATATAAAAATATATTTTGTTCAAAAGATCAAACCCATTTAGGAATATAAATGCCGTAATTATAAAATTTGTTATTTGTTTCTAATATATAAGAAATATACTTCTTGTGGAAAATAAGTATCACACATCCTCAGCCTTTCTCAATTAAGAATTTATTGATTTTATTATGTCATTGATTCCAAGACTAAAGGTAAGGATTCGAGGTGGCCACCTTGTTGAATGCCCTCAATTGTAAATATTTTTTAGAGTTGAATGGATTGTGGAAAGTTGGTAACAATCAAAAAGAAATTTAGTGCGGGAAAGGGTGCAAGTAAAATGGTGTTGCGAGAAAGTGTGTTGTATGCATTAGGAAAGTTGATTTTCACTAGTGCTTCATTTGTTGGATTATTTTCAAGATGAATTCTTGTAAGATGTACTAGCGCTTCACATCCATCGGGTACAACTACACCTAATTGATAAAGTCTGGGGATGTGTGATGCTTAGTGATGATTTTTGAATTTAATTTGGCTGTGAAAATTATTTAATCAATATATAAATCTATACAACTTTTTAAATATATTTTTTATATATATGGTATATAATTTTTAGATATGTATATTTTTATTTTTGATATTTATAACCAAAATTGTATCTTATTGTGGCCTTTTAATTTAGAATTTGAAAATAAACATTTTAATTTAAAAAAATATATATAAATAAATTAAAATTTTTTTAAAACAAATTTTGTCTTCAAAAAATATAATTAAAAATTGATTTGTATTCGTAAATATATTTATGAGGAGAAAAATTCATCAAATAAATTAACCAAAGACTGACCACCCCCCTCTTTTCATACAAAAAAAATATTTTTTCAGATCTTAAATACTTTGTTTTTAAATATAAAATATTTGATAGCTTTTGACTTGTATACAATTATTGATTAATATTAAATATTTATTTAAAAAATTTTACAATTGACTAACCATTAAAATCCCATTTCTCCTAAACCTTTAAAATTTTGCATATTTATTAATTAATATATATCTAAACTGAGAAAAAAATGCCTATTTGATTTTATGATTATTTCCGGTTTTTGACATTTAGATTCCTTAACGATATTTAGTATTATGTTATCTAAAAGACCTACTATTAAGCTATATTAAGAAATATAAATGAAGCCTCTAGCCTAATTATAGCCAAAGGTATTCTAAAATCAAAGGAAGTGCATTTTGTCCAAAAGGCCACATTTTTTCGACAGTTAGGGACTAAAATTTTTTTTTTAGTTATAAAATACATAAAAACTCTTGTAAAAAAATTTTAAAAAATCAGAGGGGTTGAAAATCGAGTTTTTATAACATGATTTTCTTAAACAACCTAGTCATGTTACGAGAAGTGTTGTTAAACATTACTTTTATTGTAGTGGGTTATATATCAAAAAAATAGCGCCTTAAAACCTACCATTATCAAAATTTGTAACTAGAGCTGCTAACGATATTCATAAAAGTAAATAACATAGTTACTTTTTTTTAGTATTGCCGTTAGTTTTATATCAAATAATTTTTACCATGATCCGAGTCAAGACATCAATAAAACTTTCTTTTCCTATCTTGCGAATGAGTATGGCACCTCCATAGATGTCTTATTTTTTCATAAAAGAAACCAAATATTTCGTTTCTCGTTTGGCCTTCAAAGTAATGATGCAGAATACCAAAAAGTGATATCGATACACTCCTAATTTAAATTTAAAAAAAATATATGTATCTTTTTTAGTTTAAGATAAAAATAGTTCTCACTCAATCTAATATAATTCAAGAACATCTAATCGACCAATAAAAGAACAGCTCAAAGAAGAATTAAATATACCTATAATTTGTTTTAAAAACTCGGTTTTTTTTGAAATACTCAGCCCTAGGCCTATTCAAAAACGAATTCGAATCGAATAGTGCATTATTCATATTCGATTCGTTTAAACGAATCGAATAATTTACTATTTGAATTCGTGCGAATAATATAATCTACTATTTGTATTCGATTCGAATTTTTCGAATAATTCGAATTAATTTTTTTAATAAAATTAATCATACTCAAATATATTGACAAATTTTTTTATTACAAATTTGATTTTAAACAGAAAAAAATATAATAATATGTAATCAATAATCTGATAATAAATAATATATAATCAAGTTATAAACAAAATTAAAATATATATTATTAATTTAATTTATAATTTAAGCCAATTTTTAAGGCAAAGAGTTTTTCTTATATTTTCTTCCTTATATGACATGCGGTTTTTTGACAATAAATTAGTTCCAACTGAGAAAAGCCTTTCACAAGCAGTTGATGTTCCTTGTATAGATAGATAATCCCTTGCCATTTTCGAGAGTATGGGGATCCGATATGCATTTGCCTTCCACCACATTAACGGGTCAATATCACTCTTTGCTCTTGGTTCACTCAGATAAAAATCTATTTCACACAGTTGAATATTATTTTGTTTAAAAACAATGTATAGCCTGATTTGTTGAATTTTATCCTTATTTGTTTGACAGTTATAATTATGAGCTTATAAAATAAAATCATATTTAAATGGGGGTAAATTAAATACCTGTATATCTATTGTAAATCTCTTTAAATTTGTCCATTAACTTGGATATATCAATATCATAATCAACAGATATTGATTTAAAATATTCTACTTTAAGCCTGAGATCTAATATTGTGGTTATTATTGCATCATCGGCAGTTAAATTATAATAGCCCCACAATTTATCACTGCTACTTTGAAACTATTGTTAAAGGATTTATGGAAACCAGGTTTTTCATTTTTTAGATGTTCAAGAATTAAAATATAATAAGGTATAACCAAATTATAAGTAGGATAATTCTCCCCACATACCATATTTGTAGTTTCATATAAAGGCAATAGTATAGCTTTAATTTTTATAAGATCCTCCCATTCTTCCTATGACAAATGTTAGATTTATTAAACAATTTATTAAATATTACGAATAATTCGTTTTATTCGAATCGAATAAATGATTATTCGTATTCAGATAAAACAAATAATTTATTATTCGTATTCGTAATTATTCGATTATATTCGAATTATTCAAATCGAATCGAATTATTTTTGAATAGGCCTACTCAGCCCTAACTATATCCATTAGATTTTTTCCCTATTGATAAAATGGTTCTGTGTCAGCAGCATCGCTAGAGGGGACGCAGAGGCTCGAGCACCCTGAAAGATTTGAAGAGTCCTAGAAAAATATTTTTATTTCCAAAGTAAGGTCATTTTGAAAATAATTTTTTAAGCCCCCTGAGCAAAGACCTTCATGGGCATATTATATTTTCTAGCGGGCCTGGATTTTTAAAATTTTTTTTAATGGGCTTAGGCCTAAAATTTTTAAATTTAGATTATTCAAAACAGTTGCCAATTTAAAGAAATATTGCCTTTTTTTCTTCTAATAATAATAAATTTCAGTATTGTAAACAAAATGATTGCTTAAATATATTTAAATATTGTTTATTTTTATTAAATAAAAAAAATTAAATTGTTGGATATAGGCTTGGGCCGGGTTTGGGAAATTTTTTTGAAACTTATCATGGGCTTGGGACGGCCTTGGGAATTTTTTTTAACATTAGATATGGGCCGGGCTTGGGCCTAAAAAAATATTTTTTACTGCAGGCCTAGGCCGGGCTTAGTCAAAAAATTAAGGTCCATGAAGGTCTCTGCCCCTGAGATGACGCCCCTGTTGGGTATATTCATTATACCAATTAATTATTTTGTTATATTTTATCTTGCAGTTATGTGACGTAAGAATGAATGGCACGCAAAGTTTTGAAGCACATACCAAAGGAACGAAGCACTTTAAAGTTAAATGCTTTTAAATTAAATACTCATATTTCATATACACTACCGGCCATAAATGATTGCCCACCCTGCATTTTCTTAACATTCTTAAAATAATACAAATAACACACAATATGAGGTTTATCAAATTTATTTATAAGTTTACATATTAATGCATAAAATTACAAAAAATAAAAGACAGCAATTAATTAAGATCAAATTTTAGTCTCATCAATATGACCACCATTATTCTTAATAATTGCTGCACAAATTTTTGGTAATCTTTCGATGAGATTTTTTAAATATTCGGAAGTTATTGTTCCATTTTCTCTGTAATACTTCCCAAAGGTGCGAATGAGAGGTTGGAGGGCTTTTTCGCGCTTGTCGATTAAGGTGATCCCATAAAAGTTCAATTGGATTGAGATTGGGATAGCCAAGTCATCAACTCGAGAATACCATGTTGTAGATTTTGTAAATAATCTTTGCATAGCCTGGATGTATGCTTTGGGTCATTATCTTGTTGAAATAAAAAGTTATTTCCGATCAAAAGCTTTCCTGATGAAATCTGGTCCTCAATGATTTGCCGGTATCCCTTCTTGTTAAGGATTCCTTTAATTTTGACAATGTCGCCGGTTACCCCGGCACCAAAGCACCTCCACACCATAACAGAGACCCTTCCCCGATAGGAATTATGCAGTGATCCCTCATTCTCTCTCCAGCTGAGCGGCTGATATATTGCCTTCTTTTAGAACCGAAGATTTCGAGATTTGACTCATCACTCCAAAAGACCTGATACCAGCTGGCAGATATCCAAAATTGATGTTTTCGTGCCCAGTCTAATCGCTTGAGTTTATTTTTTTGCTCAAGAGTGGCTTTTTAACCGCTACCCTACCATAAAGTTCAAAGTTCCTAAAGCGCCTTTTCATAATTTTGACACTTATCGGGTTTTCCCGAATCAGATTAATCTCCGCAGCTATCTTTGAAACGACAAGGCGTTGAATGCGTTTACTGATCCTTGCTATATACCTATCATCGCTTTAAATCGTTTTGCGGAGTTTTCCAGGCCTCTTTGGATTCGATATTGTATTATTGTTGCGTAATCTTTCAAGTATACAATCGAGTGTTCGTCTAGCTAGGGTTAATTCTCTGGCAATTCGGCGATTACTTTTACCACTTCTGTGTAAATTAATTATTCTGCATTTAGTTGGAATAGAAATTTCTTTTCTTTTAATCATTTTGATCGAATGTTCTTTAAAATTTAAAAAGACTAAAAGCTTCTTTAAACAATGATTTAAAACAAAAAAAATATAGGAATTTTTTTTTAAATAATAAAAAATAGGTATTAATAAGCAGATTAGTATGTGATTAATGACTTTCTTCCAAAAAACAATGGGCAACTTAAAATTGTTGCTGAAAAAAATATCAAATTGGTCATTTTTGACATGTTGTTTTCAAAATAAGTCTAGACATCTTAAATTAATTAATCAATTCGCTTTTACCAAATAAGTAAAAAGTTTTAAGTTATTAATTTTTTATGTAAAAATACAGGGTAGGCAGTCATTTATGGCCGGTAGTGTATATCTACCTGCTTATATATATGATTAAATTTATATTTTTTAAATTTATGTTAATTTTTTTAGAAAATGAAAAGGACGAAAGAAAGTAAATTGGTTAATATTATGTTATTTTTAAAATTTCTCATTTTTAAAATTCTTGCCCCTAAATTATTGTTACATCATGATTTGTGGTTTTTTCATCTTATAAATACAGAAATATCAAATCGGGCTTTTTTTGTAAATAGGTTTACGTATTTATTTAAAAAACATGAAGATTTTCAATTTTGTTTAATACAAAAGTGTAAATTAAACAGTACTTGCATGTAGGGCTAGCAACAATACCAGTATTTTTTTGACTCTCAATAAAATCTTATATTGTATAGGTTTTAAAACGTATTTTTAATTTTTGGAAGGCAATTAATAATTCCTCTATCTGCTGTCTTCAGTGCAAATAATCCAATAGTTATAATAATTAGTTTAGAAGGAATACTAATCTTATTCCAAAATTAATTCATTACAAACATTTTATATTTTCGAATTGTTTGCTTTATTTCGTGGATAAGGCTAAAAATATTTCTTATATATATCTAATCCATCAAGTGTTTTGTTTTGAATTTTCCACAATTATTACTTTGAAAGAAATTCAATATCGCATCTATATTATATGGGTTTAGACACTTTTATATCTAAAATGCATTCATGTCAATTATTTATTTAGGATCGTATCTTCTTAAGTCCATATAAAAAATTAAAACTTAAATAATGCTGACTTTGAAAATTTTTTTTTCAAGTGAGCAAGGAATATCATCCAGTTTGCTTCCTTTTTGAAAATGAATATCTATTTTTAATAATAAATATTTATGATTTTAAATCTTCTCTTTTTATTATTAACCAACATTAACCAATGGCAATACAATGCTGTTTAGAAAAAAAATATTTTTTAGATTAAAGTGTATATTTTTTTATATATCCGAAAATTACAATTTCTATGTAAGCCTAAATTATCTTATTATTTAAAAATATATTTATTTTATTATGATGAATAAATCCCGAATGCATTCTATAATTATAGAAGACTTAATAAGTATTTTTTATAAGACCTGATACTGGATCGGACTTGGTAAATTAATAGAATTTTGATCTGTAACATATGAATTCGATACATCTTTAATCTTAATATGTAAGACAATTTAGCAATGGCACAACTACCATGTCTAAATTTTCCAACGCTTCCAGAAAAATCTGGTTCCAACCAAAATACCACTAAGTCTTTGGTTAATTTCCCCCCACTAGAACAAAAGAAAATTGCCGAACAGCCAAACATGGAAACTAAGTTGAGCCTAATTGAACAGCCTTTGATTGGTAAGATTTAATGAACCTTTTTTTAATTAGTATTAAAAATATAGTTATTAGTAATCCTAATATGGATATGAATTCTTGATGGTTTTTAAATTTTAAAGTTTTAAATGATTATAAAAAAACCTTATTCTCTGAACAATACCGAGATAAAACTAAATTTTGGAATAGATTCCTAACATTTCACATTTTAATCCCAAAATAAATTGTATACATTATTTTATGTTAATAATAAAAATGAAATGATATATAAATGTAAAAAAATGTGATATATATCTATAAGAAACTTATATAATTTTATTTTTAACATTTTTAGGAAAAATTTACAAATTTTTGTCAAAATTTCCATGGGTTTTACATCTATAATAATTATATTTATTTTTTGGGATATAGGCTTGCAATTTGTAGTGGAATACTATTATGAGGGAGACATAACAAGTGGGCCCAAATACTTTTGTGAGTTGTGTGACAAAAAGTGTGACATGCGAACACTCGAATTTCATATTATCGGATACAATCACCGATGGTCATATATAGTAATTAAATTAAATTACCCTTAATTTTTGTAAATGGTAAGATTGGATGACATTGGCTATCATTATTTCCAATTAAAATACTGATCGAGCTTGCACAGACTAATTTGAGTCTACACCAGTCTATGAAAATAATGAACTCCCTTCATTTTATATATTTGCATTTTTTGATGATTTATTTATGTTTCTATTTAAAACAAAACCTACATAAAAGAATGATTACTATATTAGAGAGTGATCTAATCAATTAGGATGGTCATATACAATCTGTCCTATTCCATACTTTTAAAGACTAACAAAAATGAGCAAGCTTTATTATTTATGATCCACGAATCATTATAAATGTTAATATTGATAATTTTTTATAAAAATCTTTTGAATAAATTTTAAATATTTTTTTCGATCTGTAACAAATTTTACATTAGCCTTAACAATTGTTTTAAAAAGGGTGTTAAAAGCAAATTTATGTCATTTTCCTTTATAAAAAATTATTACGGGCCGTGCAGTACAAACTATGTAAAATAAACTTTGCACCTTGTTATAAAATTCATTATTAAATTTACATGGGCTTGCCGTGCCAGCTACTAATCTAGTTATTTAATTAGATGTTTTGTAATATCATTAAATAAAGAAATTGAAATACACTTATTATGCTGACGAAATCCGAGAGTATGGAGCAAGAAAGCAAGATAGAACGGAAGCCATTGAAGAATATTCAACTAGAATCGAGTTAGAAGAAAACTGTTCTAGAAAAGTATGAATTAGTATTTAAATCTATAAAATATTTAATAATTTATTTTTTTCTAATATTAATGTCATTAATTATAAATAACATATGAATATTTTAATATAAAAAATTTCAAGATACCCATCTATTGCTTTTATTATATATTTATTTTCAACTTGATTTTTCTTAATTATTATTTTGCTTTTTCTATCCATTTTTGAGTATTTTAATTTTTTTAAACCTGATCTTGTATTTCCAATTTTTTATTTCCTCTCCCACGAATTTTTTGATTTTTCCTCTTCTGTTTAATCGGTCTTCTTGAAGCCGAATTCATCTTTTTTTTAATGTTTTATATTAAACATTATTTAAATTATCTAAATATTTATTTAACAATAATTCTATTTTAAATGTTCAATAATTTTAAAATAAAGGGCAAAATTATATTTATGAAGTATTTTAGTAAATTACTGAAATTTAATATTCTTTATTCCTTTATTGGATTATATGCATGACAGATGACCCACATTATTCTTAATCACCGATCTGATACCGATTTTTTAACATTTATTTATAGAATTCGATTTATTATTTCTCTATTTTTTAACAATGTGGTGTAATATTATAAATATTCTAAAATTTCTATTTATTTTATATAAAACCCAATAGGCCTATACAAGAATATATACGAATCGAATATTATTAGTGTTGTAAACGCGTTCAACGGCGTTCCTTATTTTTGACGAACTTTGAACGTGAACACATTCCTTTTTTATGACGAACACGTTCGAATTTAACGTTCATTCAATTTTAAAAACACTTTTTATTTTTATTTATTTGAAAAATTTAATATTAATCCGAATTTTCTAAGAAAAAAGTCTTATATTTTATAATTAACTGTTTTTCCTTTTTCACACTTCAATTTTTTTAACACGCCATTATTATAGTTTATTAATTTGGATTATATTGTTTATATTTTAATTTAATAGATTAGCATAAGCATGAATATTATTATTTCATCATCATCATTATTATCTGATTCTAAAAATTCAAAATCAATGAATTAACACTATGGCCCATAACATTCTATATTGAAGGAAATAATTCAATACTTACCATATGTAAAATGTGCCCAAAAATTATATAAGTTTCAAAATTTTCAAGTTCCAATTTAAAACGACATTTTATTCTAATATTAATTATTTTATATAATATAATTAAGTAAAATCAATAAATTTGAAGAAAAAATGCATTTAGGCTACTTGCGCCATAACGATAGTTATTTTAAAATTAAAAAAAAAATTAGTTGGCTAAAATTTGGTTAAACATTGATAGACGAAGTATTAAATGGGATTAATAAAAGGTATTTAACTTAACGCTATCAAATTAATTATACATATATTTTATTTTCTTTAAATTTGAACATATATATGAAGATCATTAAGTTCTCTAATTATACATCCAGTATTTAAGTTTCATTGGCCATGGATATAACTTCCACAGAACGAACCTATAAAATAAACTTAAGGCGTTATTGAAAAAATTTATTGAAAACCTAGAAATGATAATGCAAGAACTGTTAATTATGAGATATCCTTTTTTTTGACGAGGAAGTAGAGAATGGATTGGAGGAGGATAACTTATCTCAATTTTTTGAAGCAAAGGACAAAGCAATAAATGTTTTTTATAAATTCCCCACGTTAAAAGAGTTGTTTATTAAGTATAATACCGCAATCCCCTCATCTGCTCCTGTAGAGCGCGTTTTTAGTATAGCTAATGCCGTATTAACTGCCAAGCGTTCCTGGCTATCAGATAAAAATTTTTAAAACAATTGTTAAGAAAAATTTTTATAATTAAAAATGTCTTTTTATTCGCTATATTATATTGTATTTATAATTATATTATCAAAATAAAACTATATTATTTTTTAACATGTCTAATATATTGATTTGTTAAAAAATATAAGACATTTATTTATATTAAATTAAATTTTCAAAAAAATTTATCATAAAATTTTGAACGAACGTGAACGCGTTTGATTTTTTTAGAAATGTTTACAACACTAAATATTATTCGTTTCGAATAGTATTCATATTCGAAGAGAATTTTTTCACATCTAATTTTAAAAATATAATATCTGATGATAAATAACATTACATCAGGTCAACGAAGGTTATATAATATTGAGTTTATCAGATACAGCATATTTATAAAATGACATTTATTTAAGAGTTGAAATTTGCATGACACTGTATTCAAACTTAGAAATTTAGTATGTAAAATTTATTTATTGCTTCGTAATTATTATTTATTCTTGACTTAACTCGTCTAAAATAAGTAAGGTAAAAATTATAAAACATCGATATCGGATTGTTTTTAGTCTTTATCAGCAAATATCGGATTTGTATAGGCCAAAAGAAAGTCTATGGGTACAGGTCTATTCTTAACTGCTATCATTTATTTTCTTTTATAAAATTATTTAGAAATTCAATATTTATTAGGGCTGTCCTATATATCGGAATCGGATTAGCACTGATATTGGTTTTCGAGAAAAATCGGATGGGCTCGATATCATTTAAAACCCTATCCCAACCAATTTTTTAAATAATAGAATAATCGCTTAATGAACTTTCCTGGCAAGTACACTCATTTTTATAAAACATTTTTGTTATTTTTCAGTATATTTTTTTAAATGAAGGAGCGTAGGAAGAGATGTAGATAATATAAATAAGAATAAGTTGGTTTTTTATACTTAATTTAACACAAAAGGCAAAAATTATTTACTTTTTGTCCAAAAAACGATAAAATATTTATGATCCCAATTATGGGATAATCTTAATTTTATTCGATTATTTATGGTTTTTTTAAGTGAAATGAATTAAAAAGTTGTTTATTTTTTTTCTAACTTAACCCTTGACCCAATATAATTTAAGAGGAGACCATTATAGAATTAAAATAAGAGAAACACTTTGGAATAGTTATTTCATGAAGAAAAGTTAGTGAGTGAATAATCTAATTACGGTTTTAAAATAAAATTTAAAGGCCCAAAATAACATTAACAAACATTTTTTATTCAGTATCGGATCGAACCAGTTAAAATAATGATTGGACAGCCATAATATTCAATATTTTACTTGTAAATAAACATAATTGAAGGTTGATATTTGGGTTAAGTTTGAAGAATTTTGATAGTAAAAATTAGTTCATATAATAATTCTTGTAAGATTACTGAATATTTTATGGAAATGATGGAATTGCTCTAGTTATTGACTTTGGTTAAACGCCATTTTTAAAAAAAATTTTTTAACATACCGAACAATGGAGATCATAAATCCATGTCTATATTTCGATATTCGGAAAAAATAAATAACTCCTCATTAATATAGCCCTGGATACAAACCATATTTCCTACTAAAAATGATGGGCTAAGCATAATTCATTAGCTATAACATTATTTTCCTGCTATAACTCTCCTACAGGCTGCCAATGGAAGCCCATCATATTATGAAGAACTTCATTAATATTTCCCAGGCAAAGGGATTGAGATATTTCTATGGTTATGACTTGTAAAGTAATTCTAATTGATCTGAAAATTCCTCATTAATCGAAATTTATATTTGACAAAATATAACAAACATCTTCTCATAAAATATTATATAGCATAGAAAAAATAAAATAAAAGTTCCACAAGCAACATTTTAAATTCGAATATTTGCAAATAATTTTGAATTCGATCTGCTATAGAAAATACTTTTATTCGGCAAATAATTTTTTTTCTTAATTCATATTCGATTCGAATTTTGCTATGAATAATTTTGTTACTGGTATTCTTAAAATACCTAATTTTTATTAATTAAATTTTTGAGTTTTATATTTAAATATCGATATATTTTTTAAGATAAAAAAATCAATGATGGTCCCCACAAAAAAGTTCTTGACTGTCGAAGATGCAATGAATTGTTCGGGTGAGCGTATATTTTTTTTAAAATAAAATCACATTTTAATTTCAAAAAATATTTATTGATTTTAAGGTGCCGCGAGCGAAACTTAAAATAAAATTTAATTTTTTTATTATTATTATTACATTAATGGGGTTTATAAATAAAGTTAAAAATACTCGCTATTTTAACATAGTTAATCTATATTTATATCAAAATTATTAACTATAACTATAAAAAACATATTATAGGCATGGTTCAGCCTAACAAATCTGCGGAAAAGATGAAGATTCAAAGTAAATATTATGTCTGCCTTTTGCTAAAGGTATCTTATATTTTTTGCGTATATATCAATTAATTGTCTATTATTGATATTTGGAATTCTTAATTTTTTAATTATTAATTGATATGAATAATGAATTAAAGCGTTAAGTTCTAGCAATAATACGTTAGACAAAGAAAAGAACGATGGTCCTAGTCAGCAATTAGATTTGGTCAACCATTTCTTAACCAAAGTATCCAAGGATAGAACTGTAGATGTAAAATTCCATCATCACACTCATAATTATGGGGATATCGACAGTAATTAATTTCTTTTGTACAATTAATTGGGTGGATAACATTTATATCATAATTACACAGCACAGATACCTATATTTCATAACGGTATCAGTTCAATTTTAACCAAGACAGTTGACTATAGGTGTTAATTTCCCTAGAAAATTGGTTTAGAGGAAATTTCCTCGGGAAAATTAATGTAAATAAACCTTTCAATTTTTTTATTGAATAACTTTATTAAATTTGGGGAACTAAGGGAAAATAAAATAAGACAAAAATACAATGTAAACATTTCATTTTTTTGAATAACTTAATTACAAGAAGCATGTATTATCATTTAAAATTCATGGGATGTGTTATGTTCTATCCCCCCCCCCCTTATTTCTTTTATTTTTGTTTCTTTTGTTTTCCCATCTTCCTTTATTTTGTTATGAAATTAATATATTATACCTTATTTTTATATTGCATTTGAAACTGGTTCTTACCAGTTTCATGAATGAATATATCGCGATTAAATAACAACTTTTTTTCCCCCTTTTGTTTTAAAAATTATAAAGGTGGAAAACAAAACACCATTAATCATTAATTATTTTTCGTGCGTTTTAAATTGAATTTCTTTTTTTTTGTAATTTCACTTATTCGAATAAACTTTGAAAATTACGTTGTCCAAGTGATTCCATGACTAAATCGATAAAACCCGGCCCCCTGGATCCAGTCATTGACCATCCCGGACCCCCGATCACGGACTGTATTATTTCCATTCAGACTGGGGGACCCATCGGTCCAAACACAACAGGATGCAATTGAAATATCATCATGATATTAATAAATCGAAATCTGAACTCTTTTGATGATACCCTGAACATGATGTATTTGTGTGATCCTTTAAATGTATGTTATGTCTGATTGATATTAATTTTTCGACTCTTTTATTATTTCTCGTTTTTGATTGAATTTATCCAAACACTTGAGGGTGGTATCGAAAGACATTTACTGCCACTTGACAAAGGAGTTGATTTGTACTTAACCCTTTCCACCATATGAATGGTTTGGTATGGATTTCTCCCATATGTCAACTCCTTTATAGAAACCTTGTTTTGAACTATATTCTGCTAAATTACCCATAATTTTTCCAATATCAAGATTAATTTGGCCTTTAATATTTGTTAAATTATAAAGCTACTATTAATTCGCGGTCTGAATTTCACACTTTAATAACTAGGATCCAGAAGATTTGTTGCAAAATGATATTCTCGGCAACAAAATTTCTTTCGTTTATTAATATGCACCTTAACACTTTTCAAATCATTTTCATTTAAAGTAAAAGTTGGTGAATTGAGTTTATCTTTTATATCCCAAAATATTTCTGGTACGTCAGATAATACTGCTGTATCCGATTCTACTATTATAATTTTGTTATAAATAAATTCAAAAAAGTCAGTACAGACTCTAATTTATCCCAGTATCCTTCTTTGTCCAATATAAAATGCCTTCTTTGTTTGTCTATAAATAAACTTGAAATTGCAATTTCTTGCAAAACTTCCATCATATTAATAATATGTATGGGAATATATTGTTTAACATTTTACCTTTGTTTTTGTATTTTTAAAATTATAGATTTGAAGAGTCGCACTAATAAAAAAAATAAGTTAAAGACTCATGAGGAAAATAAAAATTATTTTAAAATTTATGATATAATAAATTAAATTATAAATCATAATTTTTGCAATAAAATATTATATTTGGAAAATCTGAAAATTTACATATCTTTACATTTCTACAAGTGACCATACCGAAAATGATAATTAACCCTCATAAGTTAAAAAAAAAATTTTCATCCATATAAAATGTATATATAAAAAATTATCTACAAATTTTTAAACCGGCAAGAAAGGATGAATGTTAATTATTTTTTTACTTTTAAAATTTTATAAATTAATTACAAAAATTATAAATAAATGTAAAAAAATAATGTTGATGAATTTTATCATAGCTTTTTTTCAATTAAATAACACTATATTACAATTACAAATAATATAATATAATATTTTTGATATCAATATTGGCCGATATTATGTTGATATTGGTATTGAATAAAAAAGTGATGTTGGTACAATTTATTTATTATATATGTTGACTTGTATTTAATCATGATAAAAATAATGCCTATAAAGTTCATGATGATTTAGTTATCTTTTTTTTAAAAACATTTCAACATGATTATATTTTTTTCAATCGTAAATTGCACAGGTTATTTTTGAATGTGAATTCTTTTGTCATGCCAGCATTTTTTAAATATATGCTGATTTTTAAAAACAGATAGCTCAATATTTTATCCAGAAAAATATTATGCAAACCTGAAGATTTTACTCATAGGGGGTACATTTGGACATCTATTATTTTTCTGGCTAAAATGAGTTAGCCGTTTTTAAAAACCCGCTCAGATCGAGCCATTTAACAACACTACCCAGATGGGTCTGGTATTGGATGATACTGAAGCAGATTTATTAACTCTATACATAGTTTGTAAATTTAATTAGGGATTCATCCATCATAGTGTAAAAAATATTTCTAAAAAATAATTTAAAAAAAATTTCCTTTTTTTATGTTTTGTAAGTACTTTGTTTTTTAAAAAAATAATATTTTTATTTGCAAATCCTCATTTTAAAAATAAATATTATATATAGTCTTTAAAAGTACATGCGGTTTTAATAAAACCGGCCAGATCCAAATAAGAAGGCTAGTACTGAATCAAAATAGTGAGCCTGACTGGTATATCTTTGGTTTTTTATATTAATTATATTTTTAATTATATACTATTTCAAATTATTCCCCCAACAAAGATTCTCGTATTCTGTCTCCCATCAAATCCAAAAAAAAATCACGCAACTCTCGCTCAAATGTTGCTCAGTCATGGCAAGTTGAAATAGCAAATAGGCATATATTACCTCAATTGCCTTCAATTAAATTACCCTCTATTATTCAACCCATACCTTCGATTTTGGTGGAAGAAGCAGTGGATCAACAAGAATTAAGAGAGTATATACAATATAAACGGTTGAAGAGGAAATTTGATACATTAGCTGGACCATCCGGAAGCATTCCTCCTCCTCGTGATTATTATACAACACCTAATCATAATATCAATCTGAATAGAAATGATACATACCATCGTAATTATAATAATGATCAGCCAAACGAATCTTATAACAATTGCAAGAATATCAATAACATGAATCAAAGTTTAATATTATAATATTTTTTTAGTGTAACCAGGATGTAGTCATAATTTTTTTGTATTTTATCAACAGACACATTTTATGATTCATTAGAATGATATATTTAAACTATTCACATATTAAGAGGGATATAAGTATAAATTTGAATTGATTAATATCTTTTCTCATTATTTGATTTAAAGAGGGGCTAAATATAATATAAATCATTACTATAAAAAAAATATATCGGGTTTGTTTGAATAAATTAGACACATAATCGGTTCTTTTAACTGGGTTAGGCTTATATTTTATTAACCTCTCCATCTCATTTAGTTGATTTCAGGTGTTTTCCCACACTCAAATTGAAGTAAGTCATTTGCTCTCCTAATTTAATTTCCCTAAGGATCGCAATTTTTGAAACATTATTTTCATCACATAATTTAACGCTTTCATCTATGTGGTTTTGGGAATTCCTCGAGGCCCTGCCGCCAGCACTCCCATCATGATATTGCATTTCTTCTTCCAATCATTATAGGGTGATAATAATTATTAGGTTTTGGAACAGATAGATTTTTTACGATCAGATGTCATTCCTTTCAACAACCTCTGTAGTTTCTTTTTACAACCTGGGAAACGGTGATCATAATTTACTCCAGTTCACGGGGAACCTTTTATACTCCACTGGCCATCCGAAAACTTTGTCATCACAACCCGCCATTTTGATTCAGAATTAGTATTTTAGGGCCCACAATGCACAAATATAAATATTAAAATTTTTTTATAAAGATATTAACACTTAGATTTAATAATTAATTTAAAAAAAGATAAATAAAATCCGATATATTTTATAAATGTGACAAATACTTTTTACCAGAACAGGTACGCCACCTTTTTAAACAAGTTGAGATTCTATCGTTGAATTATAGAATGAGTAAAGTTACACTAAGGAATTTCTCTGAAATTATTTTTAGTATTTTAGAAAAAATCATGCACCTTTTTTTAAATTACCCCAACATTCGATAACCAAAATTATAAGTTAATATTTTGGGAATTCACTATATAAGAGGACAATTTTATTATCTGTTCATATACCTTATGTCCAATTTAAATTTTTGCGAAAATCATAGCAAATGCCGTGATGGAGCAATTTCTTTCTAAATTTGCCCCCTCTCGTATTGAAAGCAACAGTCGTAGTGAGAATTTGGCAACTCACGACTTTATTTACGATCCAAGACCGAATTTGAATTCACTACCATCAAATGAATGTTCCATTCCTGCACATAGCAGAGCTTATCCTCCGCCTCCTTTGCAAATGATCTCTAATCCATATTACACTACCAATAATCGATTCATGAGGGGCGTGATGAACAACCTCGTGGAATCAGCCACCCAAAAAAATACGAACACACAATTAGCAACACCCTCCGGCCTAAATCGCAATATCAATGCAAACCAGTTAATATTTATTGCCTTATTTTTATAGGTGTCATATTGACGTTGCATTTTAATTTGATTTATTAAGATTGACAGATGAATTAATTTCAAAGACCTATAGAGAATAAATTTTAAGCCGGGCCCGAATTTTTTAAATTATGATTACTTATTTTTAGACTGCTTGCTCCGCGTTATAATTTGTTATTTTTAAGCCTCACCCGGATTCAAATTGTACTATTTTAGTGCTTGGGACCTAGTTTGTTTTTTATTATAATAGTGTATAGAATGAATATATAATTTTTTTGGCATGATTAGCTTTCATCACAAAAGATTTCCCACTATTAAAATTTCAAACCCGAAAAATAATAAACATTTTTATTTATTTCAAATATGTGTGTATTTCTTTTTTTAAAAAAAATAAATGCAAATATAATAATTATAAACAAGGATTATTTATGGTGCTCATATATTAGAGGCCACAGGCTCATTATGATTTTTATTGTTCTCTATTTAAAAATTTATAAAGGAAACAGTTATAAATTTTGATAGTGAGGCCAAAAAAGATGAAATAAAATTCACCTTTACTTAACCCTTTAAGACCATTTCCAAACAAGACGTTTTTCCAAAAAGATTTATATGGCACGTTTCTTTAAAAAAAATTTAATTTCCAAATAACATACAATTTTTATTATACAGCTGATTTTTTTTAGATATATCAGAGTTATTAACGCTTTTTCTTAAAAGGAGCTAGCTCCTGCTCACACTCTTGTCATTTCGATAGGAGCTAGCTTCCAACCCCCCTTCTGAGTTAAGAAGCCCGCTCCAGCTCCAAATTTTAAAAAAAGGAACGCCGCCGCTTCTTTGAATTATAATTTTTATAATATATAGTACAAATTTTTTTTTATCGATATATTTTAAACCAAAGAAAAGGATGCATCAAAAAAATTTATAATCATTTATTTGCTTTTAGTAGTAAATTTTTTTAATTTGAATCTGGCAAGAGTCACGTCTCTCGCTTAAAACCTGTTTAGCAATACTAAACAAAGCTCAATCGAGTGGGAAGAAATATTTTTTTAAATTCTTATTTAATTACAATATATTTATTGTTATTGTTTGTTAAAAAAATTTCTCTAGTACATTATCTTCCTTCAATTTGATTGATTCCCAAAAAAATATTCTAAAAAATTGGAGGATATTTTCGGTTTAATTGTAAATTTTTGTGATTTCTTTTGAAATTATTTTATTTTAATTCTTCATTTTTATCCCTGCTTATCCATTCACAATTCTATTTAAATGCAGAGTGGATAATAGCAGCAATGATATTATCATTATAAACAGATGAAAATCTGCAACAAAGTTATTGAGAAATATGTCACTTATTTTTATAAATTATAAACCTTTTATCAATGCCGCATAGACTCTACAATAGATAGGTTTAGCAAAACTTTAAATCTGCAAAATCATTTATTTTTAAAGTGAGTCTATAAATAAATGGAGTTTCTTGCCTTCATGCCGAAGTCTTCATAACCTGAAATTTATCATTTCGAAAAATAACGATTATATTGATATTTGGCTATATTATTTAATAAATTTACGTTCCTGATAGTTAAAGCCTATAAGTTCTATAATCACCTAATTATCAAAATTAGTGAAGGTCACGGTCCGGACTGGACCGATACCCTCGGACCGGACCACGGTCCTTAAAAAAAGATCGATCCAGACCGTACTCCTAAATAAAAAGACCGGTCTTTTTATTTGTTTAAAAAACATATTTTTTTAACCTAATTCAATTTGTTTTATCATTTTATTAAATATAAGAGTATTATATAAACAATATAAAATTAATTATGAATAATATAATAATTAATACAAATATTTAATTTAAATAAATGCTAATGTCTTTGTTTGTAGAACTTCCTTGGAAGGAATTAGAAGAGGGACTTAATGGAGGCGGTAGATCTATTCCATTCTTTAACCAAGAAGCCATACACATCAAAGCTTGTATTGTTTTGTTTGAAAGCCTATTCCTTTTTATAGTGACAAGATCTCCTGCTTTCGAAAATATTTGTTCACAGGGGACAGATGTTGCTTGAATTGCTAAAAAATTTCTAGCTGCTAATGAGAGGACTGGAAATCTATATAATAAACTATATTGACTATTTAAAAAATATAAAAGACCTTTCACTATTGGCTTTCCACCATACTAATATGTCATCCTTTAATGAAACAAGAGGTTCATTCAAATAGGTGTGAAGTTCTGATATATTTTCTTCAATGATTTCTGCCGATATATAATCCCCTTCTGAATTTCTTTTTTGGGATATAATTCTTTCTAAAAAACTAAATTCATTGATTTTTTCCTGGCACAAATGTTTGAAAATTAGGATTTAATAAATAAATATTAAAAATATACCAGAGAATCCGTTATTCCTGTATTTTTTTTATTTTCTATTTTCCTTAAATATTTTGAAAATTTGGTCATATACTCAATTCTATTAAGAGTATTAGGCATGTAAACTTGTTTTAATCTCGGATCCAATAATGTTGAGACATATGATTCATAGCAAAATAATTCTTTGAGATATTTCAGCATTATAACCAGCATGTTATTAAGAATTTTTTTTCTTGTATTGTTATTATCCTTTTTTATATTATTTAAAATTTCATTATTTATATTCTCCATATATAACATGGAAATCCCAACTGTAGGATATTTGGATCCTGATAAATCAAGTGTGGTTTTATAGAAGGGCTTTAGAAAATCTACAACCTCTTTAAGGTCTTCTTTTTCACACTCAGTAAAGAAAACCTCTTTAAATTGTTTGTAATTCAAAAAAAGTACTTCTTCTATAGCATCCATGTTCTAAAAATTAAATATTTTTTAAAAATAATTGGATAAAAATGTAAATACCTCATAAATTGTATTCATCATTAAATAGGAGCTATTCCATCTAATAGGGATATCAGAAGGGATTTTAAATTTTGTAATACCCTTATTTTCACATATTTGTACATATGCTTGATTTATTTTGGGTGATTTATTTATAGAAAAGGCTATGTCTCTACACTTTTCTAGGATAGTTGTAATATATGATAAACCTTTCTGAGATATTAGGTTTAGAATATGGGCACAGCATCTAAAGCCTTTAAATTTTTGTTCCTTATAAATATTCTGCAAAATATCCATGCTTTTTAGGATGTTATTGGCATTATCTGTAGTACAGGCCAGTATATTCTCCTCCAATTGATATACATCAATTACTTCTTTTATAGCTAAGGATATTTCTTCAGAAGTATGAGGAAATGGGATATGATTTATATCAAGTAAAATATTTTTTAATGTAAAAGAAGAATCAATATAATGTGCAGTAATGGCTATAAATGAAATTTTATTTATATTGCTCCACATATCTGTGGTAAAGTTTTTTAAAGAATTATTTTTATTTAAAATATCTTTTAGAGAATTTCTTAGTTTCTCAAAATTAGCTGTAAAAAAATTTTTAACTTTGTTTTTTGACCAAATTGTAGCAGTTGAGTTTAAATATTTGATTAAATTATGAAGACCTGAACTTTCAAAAGTCTTCATTGGCAGAGAGTCTATTATTACCCATTTTATAATGAGTTGGTTCATATGATCTGTTTGGAATTTATCCAATGGTATTGAAGAAAGTGATTTTGTACTTGTGGAGGGCATATTTAAATTAAGAGTAGATAGTGTTTTTGAGATATTTTCATTTTCATTATTAGAAGTATAAATTTTATGTTTTATCAAATGTCTGCTTAAGGTACCTAATTATTTTATTAAGAATAAAGTTAAATTATTTTGACAATAAATTATTCAGACAGTTTCTTAAGAAAAATAGATATATAAATAATAACCAAAATATTTTAATAATAATACTGCTTATTTTGATTAATTTATTGCTTAAAAAATTATAAACAATTATTTTGTTACTTGTTGCTGACGATATGTTAAATTTGGTATTACAGCGAACACATATTCTATGTTTTTTATTAGGACTATAAGTAAAATGTTTCTTGGACAAACTTATGGTTTTCATATTGTAAAAAAAAAATTAACAAAATCTAAAATAACTCCTCTATAAAAATATCATAAAATAAAATATACAAAAAAATTATATTAATTGAATAGTAAAGTAAACTTAAATATTAATAAAAGACCGGTCCGGACCACGGTCCTCAACAAAAAGATCGGTCCGCCAATCGGTCACCTTCACTAATCAAGATCATAGAGTTTTTTGCTTAATATTATATCTATGAACACCATGAGTTCATAATATATTCCTTGTAGTATTTGAACATATCTGATATCTCTCCAATTTTTTAATTATATTATCAGCCATATTTGTGGATATTTTTGCTTTTGAAATGAGCTTTGGGTTATAATTTTAAATCTTCTATTTTCTATTATTTTAATTCATATTATGGCAGACACAAGGTAAATATTTTGGTAAAAAATCAGTTTCTTTTCTATTAATTAGTATATAATCGATATTCACAAGTTGAAATCTTCATCCATTTTCAAAACTTTTAAGCTCAAACATTCCACCTCTTTTAGAAACGAAAAAATATTTCTTGTAGGATAGAAATAAAATTTTATTTCATCTATGTATTTATTTAAAACGATATCATCTTTGGTTATTATGCTTTATAATTTGAATTTAGAAAATGGCGAGAGTAAAAAAAATATAAAAATTTGGTTCAACATTTAATATAATTAAATAGTTTCATAAATTTTACATATTTAATTTATTCAATAAATACATTAATTAGGATTATTTTTTAAACAATTTATACAATCATTAAAAGAGCGGAGGAGCGGCACTCCACGACTCCAGACCAAAATGGAGCCGGCTTCCGCTTCCGTGTCTTGAAAAATAGTGTCGCTCCAGGTGTTTTTGGAAAAATAGTCTTGGAAATGCGCTCTTTCACTGAGATATATTAAAATATTAAATTATAATAATTTATAAATAATGTGACATAAATTTAAATAATAGTTTATCCCCAAAGGCTACTATATCTCCAGAGGGTTTTGGAGTAATATTATTTACTTATTAAAATATATAAATTATTAAGATATCTAAGAACAGGCCCAGAAGTATGTGATTCAAAATGGTATAGTTTAAAAGGAAGTATGCCAACTCCTGAATATATAGGGGCACTCCGTAGTAACACATATTCCTCATTTGTTAATTCAAGAGAAAGGTTTAAAAACTATTTTAATTGTTAAATTTATATATATTTTTTTATCAAAATTATTATTAACCATTTGATATACACTATTATATTAAATTTACATATATTTTTTTATAGTAAAATTCACATTCGTTAATATAATAACAGAATAAAAAAATTTATACAATAATTGTTTTTACTATGTTATAATATTATTATTAGCTACATAATTATAATTACAAATATTTGCCTGAACATTTATTTTTAAATTTCCATAATTGTTTTACTAATTTAATAACAGAAAAAATATTAAAATTTAAAAGAATTAATGAAAAGTGCTATTAATTAATTTATAAAATTATTAGAAAAAATTATTGATAAAAAGGTAAGCTTTAGTTAACATGAAGTGTTTTTGTTAAAGATTTTATATGTTTGATTTTAATATTTAAAAAAATGCAGAACTATATGCAATAAAAATATGGCTTTTGGATATATCTTTAGCTGTTTGTTTTTTTATCGCTTTTAAAAAACGTCTTGTTTGGAAACTTATCGATAATTTACTCTTTGTGTTCCTACAAATTATTTAAATAATCATTTTTTTGAAAATTTTATTTATAGTTAAATGTAAAATAAAGAATTAATATACATAGAGATATATGTGTTACCGTCTATGTGCGTGATCAGGCCATACCAGGGTGTATTTAAATCATTGATATTTTGAAAAAATTAAATCGGATTTTTTAAAAAAAAAACAAGTTTGGATTTTTATATCACCAAAGCTTTAAACTTGGACTTGGGGATTTATGAATAAAATTTTTCCATCTTATTTATATGATATCTTAATTTTATGACAAATAGAAGAATACCTTCATATTTTTATTTAATCAGGGGAAAAGGCCCTTTAAGAAAATTAAATTTCATGAAACATAAACCCTCCTCCCCAACCAACCTAAAAAAAATTTTAAGGTTATCACCCTCACCCCTGAGAAAAGGGGAAATTATCTTCCGCTTACCTAAATTTATAATTTGAAAAGATAGGTCTCATAAAATGCAAAAATGATTTTAATTAAGAGGTTATAAGCATAGTTATGAATAATGCACAAACCATGCTGAAATTGAGAAATATTATTAATATAAATTCATAATTTGGAAATATTTTAATATACTAAAAATCAGACTTGTAGCGCGCTTTTTTCAATTATTTATTTTTTTAGCGTGCTCCTTTTTTGAAAGTAACTAAGTAGCGCTCCACTTAGCTTCTTTTTAAAAATATAATGAATGTAACTATAAACATGAAAATTTAAATATAATATCATAATTTTTTTTTTCTTAAATCTTTATTATAAAAATACATTTTTATATATAATATAATATTACATATAATATACAATGAACAATATACATATACAGTGTTGTGATTATTTAATTTTATATGGATGGGTTTTAATTTAATCGTCATTAAATCCTCACAACACTGTATTAATAATAATAATAAGAAAACAAAGAGGAAAAAAAGGAGAGGGGGCACAAAAAGTACTGAAGTTAAAACTCATCATCTTGTGGGATGAGGCTGATTATTTAATTTTGAAATTGAAGTTTATATTTTCAATTTGTATTATAAACCTAAATCATCTGGTGTAAATTATTTAAAATGGATATTTTTGTAACAAAAATACAAATTTTCCATTTCCAAAATTTGAAAATATAAACAAAAGGTGACTACAAATTTATTTGTTCAAGCTAAAAAAAATAAATCTAGTAGCTATAACCTCAAAAACACCTTTTCTAATAGTATTTTTATTTTGTAAGAATGTTCATGCCAACAGTTTTAAAGAGATGGATCATAATAATTTTGGTATAGGGGAGACTACATCCAAAAAGACCAATTCAATTCAAGTTAAATTGATTAATAATATTGCACATGCTAATATTTCCCAGAAACTGGCTGAAAAAGTTATTATCGATTTATAATTGATATAGCCAATGTCATTGGTTAATAATCCAGCATTTACCAATATGATTAAAACTCTATCTACTGGTACAACAATTTTTTGTCGTCAGACACTAGTGATTGAGTAGCACACAAAGATGCTTTAGTAAGAACCATAAAAACACCCTCCACTGATAATTTTTCGAAATAAAGGATAGTAATATAATATAAAATCCCCAATCTAAAAATACAAATGAGTATTTTTGATAATTTTTCTTATATTATAAATATTTTTATAAAATAAATACTGCCTTGCGCTCAAGTGCTAGTGTTAAGAGATTATTAGTAAGGCGAAACTTATACTTTCTGTCCTCGCTCTAGACTTGGGGATCATAGCAGGGTTGTGCATTTGACCGGTCAAATACAATTCGGTCAATTGACCGATATTTGACCTGTCAAATATGGTCAAATTCAAATAAATGTTTTTTACACCAATATTAACTTTATTTTGCATTTATATAATATTATAATAAATCTATGTATAATAATAAATATCATAATATTTTTTAATTCATTCTATAGTCAATGTTTCACCCTCCGTGGCAGAGTCTTGTTCCGATTCATATTCAATATCATTATTTTCTTTAATATTTTTAATCAATCTTAAATTATGATACACTCTTACTAATTTTCCTGCTGTAGAAGCCTTTAATCTATTTCTGTTTTTCGTGTGAATATTGCCCCAAACCGACCAATTTCTTTCAGAAGAAGAAGTCGAACTAGGAAATGTTAGTAAAATATTAGCGACTTCTCTTAATGGGCAAGGTGGGCAAAATGCATTCCACCAACTTGAGGCTGAAATTTGATTGTTTCTTATGGAAGTTACAACTTTCCACATATTATGCCTATTAAATATACCGCTTTTGCTTCTGAAATTTACTATATTACTCAAAATATTTTGATTATCACCACCTTGTAAAATACCCAATTCTTGTATTATATTACATGCTTCATCAAATTCAGTATTAGTAAGATGCTCCCCTTGATATTGGGGGTCCAATAAATAAGCAGCATTGTGAGCACATGTATTTATATCAGTTTTTCTCTTTTCAAACATAACCTTAATTTTTTTTTCTTGAGATGGAGAAAATATAGAATCATGGCATGATTGTATTATGTGTTTTTCCAAATTAAGCATCTCGTTTTTTACTTGGGCCAAAGTACATTTATCCCCTTGCACTTTCAACAATGAGGTAGCTAAAGGTTGGAGTATAGCTAAAAATTTTAAATTTTTCGTCCAAAATTCTTCGTTTAATATATTATTGGTAATTTCTATGGGACAATTATCACAAACAGCTTCTTCAACAACTGATGCTTTTAGAGCTTTCTTGCATATTTGAATTTGCTCCATACATTTTATTGACGATGCCCATCTTGTTTGGCTAATTGTACTTAATGTAGATGGTATGCCATGAAGATTCTTATTACGGGAAAATACTGCAGCTGGTATGTGTTTATTCTTAAAAAATTTAACAATTTTTTTAATTATTAAAATATGGTCACTGAAGGCGTCCAATCGTTCAAAATCGTGAAAGAATAACTGCAATGTATGCGCTGCACAACCATAACATTGTATATGATTATAAATAGATTCAGATTTTAGAATTCTCCAGGCTGCTTTCATGTTAGCGGCATTATCAGTAACTAAAGAATATACTTTTACCGGATTCAATTCATGAATTACATTTTTAAATTCCTGGGCAATATAATCTGCCGTATGGCGATTTTCCTCAGTATTTAGAAATTTGTAGAACACTGGAACAGGCGTCATCACCATAAAATTAATAATACTCTCGTTTCTAATGTTGCTCCAGCCATCTGATACAATTGATAAGTAAGGAGCTTTATCTATTATATCTGCAACTCTCACCTCCATATCACCTGACGCTTTGTCTAGAAGATATCCAGCCAGCTGCCTTCTCCTGGGTAATGTGTAAATAGGACGTATTTTTTTAAAAAATTCTTGGATGTAGGGATTTTCAGTGATGTGGAAAGGTAAATTGCTCGCATATACAGCCTTTGCAAACAATTGATCCAGCTCATTTTTTTCTTTGGGATTAATTCTATCTATGAAACCGGTTATACAAGATTGAGATTTATATTTAATTGCCTTGCTTGTAGATTGATTAGAAATAAGGGAATCAAATTCTCCTGAGTCACAAGACAAAATATTGTTCATTTGATAATCATTCTCACTAATTTCACCCAATTCTTCATTAGAGTTAGACTTAGAAGTATTACAAATTACATTTGTGATATTTTTTGTAGAGGTTGATATTTTGGAATTTGAATAAAATTTTTCCTTAATTATAACAGGGCACATAGTACAGCTGCTTAATAAATGTTTGACCATTCTATCAACGTGGGTGATATAGGACATCTTGCAAAACTTGCACACCGCTTTAACTGATTTACCATCGCGTACTTCTTGAAAATGTTTCCAAACATGATGCTTTGGTTTGACCATAATCCCTAATATATTAAAATTTAACAAAAAATGATTTTGATTATTGTAAAGTTAATCAATCTTAACTATTTTATAATTATCTACCAATTATTCCAATAATTTCTTAATATTATAAATATAATATAATAAACTTTTTACCAGAATTGAATAATATTCCGTAAATCTGACCAGAACAATTAAAATGAAAATTAATTTTAAAAACCAAATATAGCAAGTGTAAGTAAAACAAATGAGAATTAATATAATTTATACTCGGCTAAATATTAAATAAAATTTAAATTTATTAAAAAATAAGAATGAAAAAATTATATTATGATTATAATAAATCGGGTATTTTTATTTTTTTTAAGAAAAATGAATTGAAAAAAATAAAGAAGGCGAGAAACGGCAATGATTAGGCAAAAAAATCTAAAAATATTACTATATTTAGAAAAATTACATATTTATATTTTAATAAAAAAATAATAAGATTGATAAACATGCTTTTAATGCATACTAGTTAATTATATCAAAATATTTATTCGCCATTAATATTTTAGAGTATTTGACCGTATTTGACCAGTCAAATACTCC